AGTGAGACCAGAGAGGCTGGCGGGAGTTACAAGTTTAAGCTGAGGACTTTGAATTTCACCTTGGAAGTGACAGGGAGCTACTGAAAGAATTTAAAGAAGGCAATGATGGCACTAAAGTTGTTTTTTAGAAATAATAGCTCAGGGAGCGATGGTAAAGATGGATTAAAGGATCGTGACTTCGTAGACAAGGGAGTCATTATGAGATCCTTATGCTAGGTTAGGTAGGAGGTGATGAGAGCCCAAACTAAGGAAGCGACATTGACAAAAGAGTGTCGAGAAGACACACAAGAGTGGTTTAGAATAACATCCTTCAAACAGCAGGCCCAGCTCATTAGTGAGTCATAAAACCCATAGAGTGGATAATATCCAGGTTTTATTAAATATAAAAGAAAATATCAGTGTTTCACATAGCTCCTAGTAAGAATCTGGGCTTTGTAAAATATTGTTTTCAATGATGTATTAAAATAGATCATTGAATATTAATATAGATTATAATCTAATATCTAAATTATTAAATGTGAGACTGTTTATACAGATATGAACTTACATAAGTAGGGAATGGATATATTGAGACATAACATAAGATGGGGTTTTTCTCAAGGTGATGAAGAACAGTATTTGAGACATACTGACTTAGAAGCTAGAACGGACCAGGCCCACGTAACTGCTTGGCCAGGACGAAAGCTGCTGCAAGAAGAGTCTGGCCAGGCTGACGGTGGGCTACTCCGGTTATGCATGTGCTCAATTTCGGATGTACAATTTGAAGAGCTTATGAGCCCCCCAAGAGTAGTTGTCTAGGAAATAGGTGGGGAAATGGGTCTAGGATGGACGAAAGAAGCCAAGCAGGCCTAGATTTGGGGGTCCTTGGCGAATCAGTGATGGCTGGAGCCTTGGGAAGAGCCGCCATCCCTGGGCAAGAAGGTGTGGAGTATGAAGAGGAAAGGGCGGAAATGGGAGGAGCCAGGGGCACAGAGTGGATGGGAGTTCCAGTAAGAAGCGGGCATGGCCAGGAAGTTAGGAGAAAACCAAAAGAAAATCATATGCTACAAACCCAAGGAGGAAAGCTTTAGCAAGGTGGAGCCCAGTTGTTGAGATGCAGCACAGAGGCCAAAGAAGCTGAAGGCTGAAGACCCCATGGTTGGTGACTGGGACTTCAGTGAGAGCAATTTGGGGAAACACTAGACAGAAGTAGAGCGACCATCTGTACCACGTTGCCCAGGACCGAGGGGCTTCTTGGAACTTTCAAGGCTAAAACCAAGACAAGACAGTCCCCACACAAACTGGGGTGGTTAGAACCCCAAATAGGCAAGGTTTAAACAAGTAGGTGAGGTGGAGGCAAAAAGCGTGAATTCTTTTCCTGAAAGACTCTAAAGAGAAGAAGATAGAGTAATATCTAAAGGAGTTTTCCACTTCTTTATTCTTCCTTTTTCTTATTTTTAAACCATACTAAAGGTTTTCTAGGAGGAGAGGTACAAGTAAGGGAGAGGCTGAAGAAACAGATGACTAAAGATGTGATGCAGCAACGTTTTGTTCTCATGAAGGGGGGGAGGGGAAGAATGCTGAGCCTCAAAGGCAGGAGAAGGTCCTGCATGCTGGAGAGAAAAACTGTGAAAGAGGGGATGGGAAATAGAGGGAGATGACAACAGATGCTCTCCATCTTGTTGGGATGTGGGAGTGAGGAGAGGGGTAGGGCAGAGGCTTGAATGGAGATGAGCAAAGGCTTAGGACAGACACTCCAACACATTCCAGGCACCAGGGGCTGAGGTGGGGAATCATGAATATGCAGCATATAGTGTACTTATTAGTACCAAGTAGGTTAAGATCAGTAGCCTGTCCAAAGTCATAAAATGACAAGTGTATTATATTTCTGATCTTTTTTTTTTATATTTCTGATCTTTAAAAGTATCTACCATTGTACATAAAAAAAAAAAAAAACAAAAACAAAAACTCCACAACCCTTCAGGTGGCCAAACAAGAGACAAAAATTCTAACAGGCTGCACTAGAAAATGACATACAAGAGGAGGCAAAAATACCATCAGTCCTTGGCAGGACTATTATTAACGGCTGCTACTTATGGTATTACAGCAAGTGGCATGACCATGGTCAGACACACAGGTGCTCAGCAGGGAAGGCAATGTGGGGAGAAGAGGAATCAGACATGGGGCAGTTTGGAGCCTACATAGTGACCAAGCACACGTTCTCGGCATCCTGGATAACAGGGTGGGTTGGAATCTTGACGCAATGCCCAGCCATGGAGGCCTGGTACTAGAAACCAGACCTTCCCTCTTGGTGGGTATTTACACTTTCCCTATGCCAAATCCCCACTATAACTCGTTGTGAAGATTGTTATCCATTTTTGCCAAGGGGAAGACTGTATCTCAATACCATCAAGTACTTGTCCACCTCACAAGATATAGCTAAGTTGATTGATCTAACCCCTCCCTTCAGCCTTCTTTTCACCTATAACGAGGATAGTAACAATACCTCAGCACAGGCCTTTGAAAGAATTAAATGAGACCATAGCTGTGAAAGTACCAGGCACCCCACAGATGCTGTTTCTATATTTGTCTAGCGTAGTGGTTCTCAACTGGCAGCCATCTTGCCCCTCAGGGGACACGTGGTAATGGAGATGTTCTTGTCATCTCACGATGGCTCACGAGGGGAGTGTTATTGTTATCTAGTGGGTAGAGGCCAGGGATGCTGCTAAACATTCTACAATGCACAGGACAGCCTGCATAGCAATGAATTATCTTGTGCAAAATGTCAATAGCGGTGAGATTGAGAACCCCTGATGGTAGCAGAACGCAGGGGACTGGGAACCATACACACAAGCAAAGCACAGCAGAGCCTTGTAAGCAGCAGCAGGTCTCACTGTTACGGTACTTGCAGAGCTGGATCTTGGGCCCATTACTTGCTTTCAACAAGTTACTGAACCTGCCTGAGGCCCTCTTTTCAAACGGGGATAATAAGAGCACCTACCTCATGGCACTGTTTAGAAGCTCAGGGCCAGCACATGGAAATTCACAGTGTTGGTATTATCATTGTTCATGAAAGGCATGGAAAAATACTGAGAGAGAGACAGGCTGTTTTATTGAATTCATTAAAAAGAAAGAAGAAATTAAGAAAGAAACATTGCAGGGCGCCCGGGTGGCTCAGTGGGCTAAAGCCTCTGCCTTTGGCTCGGGTCATGATCCCAGGGTCCTGGGATTGAGCCCCATGTGGGGCTTTCTGCTCAGCGGGGAGCCTGCTTCCCTTCCTCTCTCTCTGCCTGCCTCTCTGCCTACTTGTGATCTCTGTCAAATAAATGGGTAAAATCTTAGAAAGAAAGAAAGAAACAAACAAACAAACAAACAAACTAACTTTGCAGTGACTGCCAGCCTTAGTAATTGTCACAGGGTTGTTAATGTTTTCCTCCTGTGAAATTCTACCCTGGATAATAGTCATCACAAAGTAGTTCAGAGAAATTAAATGACAGTTGAATAATATTCTGCCAGCACAATGGAATTAATTACTTTTTATCACTTTGAAAGAAATCAGAGAGACACCAAGTTTCTGGAATTGGAAAAGTTCTCATCATTAACAAGACTCATTGCTATATTTCTTGTGGTGCTAACTGAAGAAAGGTTTTATACAGAATAAAGAGACTCAGTAATAGCACTTAAAGTCGTCTGCCATGACTTGATACCCATTTGTTTCTTGACAAATTCCTTTCTGAAAATACCACAGCAGTTAGATTTGTACAAACATTAATCTGGATTTTAACGTCTTTTGTAGTAACACAGGGGTTTGTACTTTTTCTCATGTAGATATTCTTAGAATCTGCCTTGAACCAAGGCAGCTCTCTTTGCAATGTCATTAATCAGTAAATGACATCTCCTTACACTTCCTGAATGTTGGCCTTCATGCATTTTCATGGCAGGTCTGCAGAACTAAAGGGCTCCTTCTTTTCTTTCCAGCTGCTCACTCCCCACCCAGTCTTTCCTGCTCTGTCCCTCAACCATGCTGATGATGTCATGTTTAACATCATAGCCGGTTAAAACATTTATCTGACTTTTCCCCCAAATGTCTCTCAAATGACAGATCAGACCCTTCCGAGCTTCTTCAGATTCCATTCATCAAACCTGCTATTTAGGGAACAGAGACTCCTTAGGAAACTCGTACCCTCACCATTCCCTTCCATGGGGAAAGTGTGGGTATAGGGAGTGAGGACACCAGGGAGACAGAAACCAAGCAGGGAGGGACTGGGGTGGTGAGTGGAACAGGAGGAGAAAGGGGAGACAGCGTTTATAGCTTGTAAGGGAAAGGGCAATCACCAGGCATCGGCCCAAAGAGAGCATGAGACTCACAACTCTAATGGCTTCCATATGTACAAACTATTGACAAGTGTATATAAAATAGGTATATGTGCAGAACCAGTTAAGCAGCCCCAAGTTTTATATATTTCCCCTCAGAGCTACCCAGCAAGCTATGAAGAAGTGATAAGAGAAGGAATATTATCCCCTTCTTCTCTGATAAGGAAATTTAGATACAAAGAGGTTATAACTTGCCCAGTGCCACCTTAGCAAAGTGGTTGAAGAATGGGAAAAGGAGAGAAACGGACCCCCAGGTTTGCCAAATTTAAGCCTCCTACATCAAGAAAAGCTGACAGAAAAAAAAAAAAAATATATATATATATATATATATACATAGATAGATAGATAGATATATCTATGTATATATATATCGCGAGAGCAACAAGAGACCAGAGAAACAGAAGGAAAGTAAGCAACAGCACTGGTAAGAGTGGAAAAAAATGGAAGAAGGATAATGAGATGGGAAGAAGAAGAGAGCAGAAAACACTTCCAGTGTCAGAGAAAAGTCCCCCGCACAAGGACCAGCACACCGGAGGTCAGCGGTGGACCACTGGCCTCCTGTCCTCAATAACACAGCAAGGCAAGGAGACCAAAGCAAAAACCGTCCTCTAAGAAAACACCCCAATCAATAACGTATCTTCGCTCCAGGCTTTTCAATATAGGCTTTAATTCATAATGCACTCAAAGGGGAAGGAAAGGGAGGGACCAGCGCACTGTTTGGAAGGGGCAATTAAACTAAACACACTGACCTTTCGCTGAAAAGTTGGAGGAGTGTCAGGTGGCTACAAAAGCCACCGCTTGCCCCTTCCACCATGCCCACCCCATTTCCCAAAGCCCAGCTTGGTTTCTTGGTTGCCAGGTCCAGTAAGAACCTACGAACTGCTTTTTTCTGGCTTTCTTTCTTTCTTTTTTTAAACACTTGAAGCTGTAATTAAAACAACCCCCAACTCCTCTTCATCTTTTTCTTAAGTTTCTTTTATTAATTGAATATTTTAAAACCCCGTTTCATCTCCACGTGCACTTTCCAGCGTTCTTAGGCTTAGGAGAAACCCGGAGGCGGGAGCTCCTCACAGCAGTCTCAAAATCCGCCACGGCACCTCTCCCTCAGTCCCGGTGCGCCCCCTCCTCCCCGGGCGCCCCTTCCCAAACCCCGTCCGGTCTCCAGAGGCTGGAGTAAGCCGTGCGGCTGTAGCCCGCGCTGTAATCGTAAGACACCTGATGCGGCGGCGGTGGCGGGGGCAGTGCGCAGTCTGAGAAGAAGGGGGCGAAAGACGCCAAAAGGCCGGGCGCATCCTCGCCGCCGGGAGAGTCCGCCACAGTGGGGTACAGGGGGCGCAAGGGCTCGTTCAAGGTCAAGCCGCCGCGGGGGGCGGCCAGCGGCGGCTTCTTGGTCGGAGGGCAGCCTGGGGCGCTCCAGGACTCGGAGTACAGTAGGCTCCCCACCATCGCCGGCGGCGGCTCAAAGAGACCTGGCTCCAGCTCCGGGGGACCCCGCAAGACGGCGGCTCCCGTGGGAAAAACATCGAGAGGCTCCGCGGCGAGCAAGACACTCGCCTCGGTGCCCGCGCCGTAGTCGGGCCCCAGCAGCTCGAAGAACTCCACGGCTTCCGCGCCCTTCTCCAAATCGCCCAAGCTCACGCCGGGCCCCGACGGGCCGCAGCCGCTGCCGCCCGCCCTGGACGGCTCGGTGAAGAAGGACGGGGGCAGGTTGCGGGCTCGCAACGGGACCTTCCTGGCTCCGGGGACTGCGGTACCTCCCGCGGAGCCGGCCGCGTCCCCTCCCGAGCCCCCAGCGCCCGCTCCACCGAGCCCGGCCACCCGCGCCGCCACCGAACCCCCGGCCCGCTCGTCGCCCCCGGGGACGTGGCGCAGCGAGTCGAAGAGCGCGGCGAGGCTCCGGCTCTGCAGGCTGGCGGCAGCCGCGGCCTGCGACGCCTCCCGCCGAGGAGCCGCCTTGCCGTGGGGCGGGACCGCGACGGTCTGGGCGCCCGGGGCTGCGAGCGGCCGCTTGGCCGGTGTATCCGCAGCGCCTGGAGAGGGCGGGCCGGGGGGCGCGGTGCCCATGAGGCCGCTGCAGCGCTTGATCTGCTTCTGCAGGTACTTGCGGTGGTTCACCTTCCGCTTCGACTTGCCGGGCTTGTCCAGTGCCAGCTTGATGTTGCTGGACGCCGAGTCGATGAAGCTGAGCAGGTCGCGGGTGGCCTCGCGCACGTCCCCGCCCTCGGCGCCCGCCAGCAGCGCGCCCGCTGGTGTCCCGGTCTCATCATCCTCGAAACAACAGCCCTTGTCCAGGGCTCCGAAGGCGCCCCCCAGCCCGTCCGGGGAGCCCCCGAAGCCGAAGGGGACGAAAGGGTGCGTGCTGAGGAGCGCCGCCTGCACCGCCATCGCCGCGACTCCCCAGCGGCCCGCCGCGCGGCCGGCGACCCAGGCCCGGCTCCCGCACCCGCGCGGCGCGCGCGGCGCAGTGTCCTCGCTCCGGGCCGGGCTCGGTGCTAGGCCTCGCGGGGGAGCTCATTAGGTCTTGTAAGCGAGGGGCGGAGGGAGCGAGTGCGAGGCTACCGCCCCGGTGGCGGAGGGGAGGGGCTTACTTAGCCAGGCCGGGGGCGGGGGTTAGGGGGTGGTTTTTCTAGCTTTCTGGGCTTTCTCAAGCTCATCACTTTAACCCCTTCGTTTCCCTGCGACGTTTCTGTTGGCCAGCTGCAGCAGCAGGAGCCGAGGATAAGACGGCCTGTTCTCAAACTCCAGCTCCTGTAAAACCACGCTCTGGCGCGGGAGACTCTCCCTGAGGCTGAGAAGGCAAGAGTCCGGAGAGGTGGGTTCAGCCCCCTGCTCTGGTAACAATAATAGTCACCAGCTATTGGGGGCTTGCTTATGCCAGGTTCTGTGTGTACATTATCACATTAACTTTTTAACAGTACGTCTTGTTAATAATAAGTGCATATTCTTATCACCATCTAACAAATGAAGAAACAGCCTCAGAGACGTTTGGTGAGTTGGCCTAAGCCACATCCAGTCCATTTCAACTCCGAAGCCATTCCTAAGTCCTTGACAGAACCTGTGCTTTCTCTTGGCCTGCTCCTCCTCATCTATATGTTGAGAGAAGGAAACTGCTGTCTCTTCAAGCCGTAGACCTGCTCCGAAGACTCTAACTGGAGTTTTCTGCGGGACTCTCGAGACCGGTGCTCTTTCTTCTACCCTATTTCTATTATACTCTTCTATTACTAGAGGTAACAGTTAGCTCATAGTAAACTGAGGCATGCACTTGGCCCATCTTTTAATATTGTAAATAGAGAGCAGGAGGCAAAGGAGAATGGAGTCACTGCCATAAGCCAGCTGGTGCTTGAGAGAGTACTCGAATCCTGTGTTTGTATAAAACTTTCAGCGTCTTAGGACAAAGTATGGATGGGAACCTCTCCCCTACTCACATCCCATTTAAGTTGTCCTCCTGGAACTTCTGCTGCATTTCAAGGATCGCCCTGAAGTTCACTTGGACCCATTTCACCTGGGCGTGGAATAGAGAAATTGAGCACTATAGTAGACCATGGAAGATGACTCAGAGAAGATGGGTCTGTTCCCCATTCTGTCATAGCTCTGCCACTCAGTAGCTCTGTGATTTGAGTTAAAATCCATATTCTGATAAGTACATGGCTTTGGCCAAACCAGCCAACCTCTCTCTGCCTTAATTAACTCACAGTAAATGCAGGTAAGTTCGCCCACCTCATGGGGGCACCTGTCATATTTAAAGGAAACATCCTGTGAAAAATCCTTCTCTGTTGACTCATGCATACCCTGTGTGAGTATTCCCCCTTACTTCTCTAAGACACAAAAAAGTGACTGTATTCCCTCATGAGTCTTTTCTGTCACAGGGTGTTCATGAGTATTCAATGAGATCACATATATCAAGACACAGCGATAGAAAAGACACATAAGGTGTGTGACACAGTAATCTCTAAATAAGTTATGATAGGGCGCCTGGGTGGCTCAGTTGGTTAAGCAACCGATCTTGATTTCAGCTCCGTTCATGATCTCAGGTGTGTGAGACTGTGCTCCTCGCTCAGCAGGGAGTCTGCTTGAGCTTCTCTCTCTCTCCCTCCTCCCCAAAATAAACAAATAAATCTTTAAAAATAAACAAATAATTAAGTTATGATAGTTCAGATGCAGAGTCTGCCTCAGGGAAATCCAGATGGTCTCTTATAAAACTTTTTTTTTTTTTTTTTTTTGCTTTCCAATTAAAACTCTCTTCTTTAAGTTTTATTTTTCAGGATGTAGCAAGATGGTTTTTGAGCACCCTGAAGGCACAGACTGACCAAAGATAAGCCAGGTGAGCACTGTCCATTTAGGAGATGAAGTAGACACTTCCCAAGCCAACAGAGCTGAATCAAACTTTTTATTATTTTTTAATTAAGGTGGTTCAGGTATAATGTACCTTTCATTAAACTTACACACAGGATTTTGTCTTCCATTATTAGACTATCTGTTTTACTCTTGGTGACATTTGCACTAAGAAAGTTGTGTGAATTGTATTTCTCACCTGTCAGATGTGGATGTCAGTACTTACCTTCCCCTTTTTGACAGGACCATTCCATAGGCCTCCAGCTCTGGCAGCTAAGAGCACTCTTTTTTCACCTTCTTTTAACTGAGCAGTACAAATCCCCAGACACAGACAGCACAGGGCTTTACATTAGTCTGAAAATTTTCTCTTAATCTTCAGAGAGTTAACTAAGCCCTAACATAATCATATTCAACATAAGTAGAATATGAAAGGTGTCATATGTAGAAGTCATTTCATTTCCAGATCATTAGAATGTTAAGCTCAGAGCTGATTTGTAATTAGATGAGACCAGGTTCAAATTCTGGCATGCCACTTGCTAGGAAAAAGTCCTGGGACAAGTCAGTTTGTCTTCTCGAGGCTCAGTTTTTTGATCTGAAAAAAAGGGGAATGGTTATAACTGTTCTCAGACTCTTTGTGCAAAATATATGCTATAACAGGAAAATAATACCTCTGAGTCTTTTCTCATCTGTGCAATAAAGATCATTTCAACTCCTCAAAGATTTTGTGAGTTGGTGTATATGAAAGTTCCTGGCATGAAACAGCAGCTCAAGAAATATCCACTTTTTTGATTCCTTAGGCCTCACCAGTTTCTTACCAACACATCACTCTATAAAACCAGCATCATCTGCCCTTTCCCCCAACAAAGTGACTATTTTCAAATGCAAGAGGGCAGCTCCACTTGCTGGCTATAGAAGCTTAGAAAAAGGCAATATAATGTAGCAGAAGGAGAGCTGAAATTAGAGCCTGAGATGAACACTGGAGTCCAGTCCTGCCTTTTATTAGCCAACTGATTATAGAAAAGTCCAATGTTCCCATCTATAATATGGAAATAACAGTGTGAACCGATCTGATAAGGCTATTGTGAAAATCAATGAGCTAATGCAAAAGGAAGTTCTTTGTCAACCGTAAAGCTCTATATACACATATAAGATAGTCGTGGCTTAGAAGTTCTGTGGCCTGATTCACAAACAAGTCATTGTAATATGATGCAATACATGTCTCAGTGAAGTAACTTAAAGGTGCAATAGTTGATGGGATCAGAGGACCCTCAAGTCTGCTCAGAAAAGTCAGGGAAGCCTGCATACATGAAGCAGAGAAAACCAAAAATGTAAATAAAGATTAAAAGAGATCAAGGAATGTACCAAAGGTACCAAATGCTACCAGAAGGTAGCATTTGAGCTAAGACTTAAATGATGCATTTGGGCATACCAAGCAAGCAAGCTGTATCTGTGGGAACAGCCTGAGCAGAGTCATGGTCATGTGAAAGTAAGGGTGTTTATGGAAAACTATAGATAATAAGGCAACAAAGAACAACTTCTACTTGAAATAACTAGTACCTGAGGCCAAAATAAATCTTTAGATTTACTATATCCAACTAAATTGTACATGGAGACCCCACTTCATGGTCTGAGATGCTTTCCCCCTTGATCTCCTTTCCTTTGGGGAAGAGCTCTTTCTGGGATGAAATTAGTTTCAGCGGTCAGTGGCCAGCCCCTGTCAGGCCCATCGGCCCCTCCTTCTACACCCCGAGTGAGCACACTCACTTGAATGGCTTTGACATCAATACATTTCACTTCCTATGGGGCAGAGGGACCCAGCTCCAGCATGCACGAGGGCCTCTCTGCACAGCTCTGAACTAGAGCTCTTTTGCCCCAGTGATACCTAATGCTAAGCAAGCGGGATTAGTCTCCTTGGGAACCAAGCCCCCCAGGGGCTCAAGGGCTGAACTGCCCCAAACCGTTTGGGAGAATTGAGATTTCATATTGTTCTTTTACACTTGGATTTCAGGACATTACTTAGACAAAAGCCCACCTGAGAGCTGCCTCCTTTCTTGTGGGTAAATATAGCAGCAGGACCAAGAGCTGACTTACTTATTTTGTTTCCCTCTTTGTAACTTTAATCATACTCCCTGCAGGACAATCTTAGTCCTCAGAGATGTCAGGAATGCACATTCATAAAGGGAAAAATAATTATGCATCTCTCCTCTTTCTCTCTTCTCCCCCCTTACCAATTTCCTATAGCTATTTTTGAAACCTCAAATAAAATAAATCAATTCCTCTGTTTCACCACAGTATTTACTACATTATCATTTTCATCATGAAATAACATTACCTCAAAAATTGTGCACACCCAAAAACGTACCTCTTGCTTTCTTTCTCATCCTCTCTTCCTACAAACCTCCTACAAACTCCTAGAAACAAACATTCTATTAACACTAGATCTTAATGTCCATCTTAAAATATTAGATGTTATTCTGGTTATCTATAATTGTAGAGCAAACTACTCTAAAACTGAGTAACTAAAAACAAACAACATTTTATTGCATCGCACTATATTGAGGATTAGTAATTTGAGCAATTCTTGGCTGAGTGGTCCTTCTGGTCCATTCCACGTTGACTATAGCTGGTCTGGAGGATCCAAGATGGTGTCATTCACATGACTGCTCCTGTGCCTGCATGTTCTGGCCTCTGCAACATACCCATCTAAGAGTACTCAGACTTCCTACATGGAGGCTCAGGAATCGCAGAGACAATGCTGCAGGTGGTCCCATCTGGCAATTCCCAGGCTTCTTATGAAATAGTCCCAGAACTCCCAGGATGTCATTTTCACGATATTCTACTGGTCAAGCTAGTCACTAAGGCCAGCTCAGATTCAAGTGGGGGGAAATTAGAATCCAACCCTCAATGGAAGAAATAGCAAAGAATTGGTTTGGTACATTTCTTGATCTCTTTTAATCTTTATTGCCTCCATTTTTTGGTCTTCTCTGTAATTGGTTTATTTTAGAAATTGGCCATTGCCTTGTCATCTCTCCCACATTCTAATTTATTTAGTTGCATCCATTTCCACGTTGTCATTTAACATGTTTCT